TGCTCCAAGTATAAAGTCACACCCATGAAAGGAACAAGGTTGGATAGAGTAAGGGGCGTGTTACCAATATGGCGATCACTTGGTCCTGTAATGCTCAGTCCACAGATCCATCAAGTCCAGCTAACTCCAAGAGCAACAGAACGAGACTGTTACTGATTTGAATAATTTTTATTTTAAAATAAGATCATTTTCTGTCATCACCCACATTCAGTTTGATAAAAGACCAGACAGCCATTATTGTCTCTCAGTTATCTGACCCTAAACTTCTTCATTTGTAGACTAGAACAAACTGCCCCATGGGGTCTCTGAGACTGTGAATCTTTATGGGAGAAGTCTGGCGCATCTTTCTCTTGGGGAGCAGCTGGTGGGGTTGTACTGTCCACCTTTCCTTCAATAGCCCAATGCAAGACCCCCTACTCCATCAATTGTAGACGACATTGTAAATCACCACCTGAGTTTATAATGAAAAGCACCCCCTTTAACAGCAAATGCCCCACTTGTCCATCAGTCTGGTGTCTTGTGTGTCACTGTGATGATGGGAGTTTTTCTGCTGGTTTGTCAAATACAGCAGGGTCACTTGTGGTGGGCAGGTTTCAGCAGAGCTTCCAGACTAAGACAGACAGACTAGGATGAAGAAATAAGCAGACTACTTCTAAGGCATCAGCCCCTGAAAACCTTAGGGATAGCAGTGAAGCATTGTCAGAGATAGTGCCAGAAGATGAACCCCTCAGGTTGGATGGCACTCAAAATACGACTGGGGAAGAGCTGCCACTGCAAAGTAGAGCTGACCTTCATGAACTGAATGGATCAAAGTTTGAGGGGGACTTAATTTGCTGCTAGAGTAAGACTCAAAATGAGAAGCTATAAATGCACACATCCATTAATAATCAGAACATGGAATCTTATGGTACAAACTCAACTGCAAGATTTGGGCTGTAGGGTGGATGAGGTAAAGTTTCCCAACACAATTCTCATAGGACACCCCTTGCTATCCTGGAAGAATGAGCTGGCTCATTGAGAGAGAAAAAAATTCCTTGATGCAATTTCCTGGCTTCTTTTTTAACAATGTAGTTTTCAATTTTTATAAAATGTCTTTATAATAAGTCCCTGTAACTTTCTCATGGCCTTCAAGAAGATCTATTAAGATGACTCCTTGGAGGTCCCAATAAATAGGCACCACATCTTTCTGAGCGGACTTTGCTTTGCACTTATCTGGCCCAGCAGATCCCCTCGGGAACCACTGTTCTGATTGGACCTTTTTTGAAGACCCCTTAATGAGACTAAAAGGAGCTCTGGTAGTGTAGTGGTTACGAATCGGGCTGCTAATCTCATGGTCAGCAGTTCAAAACTACCAACTGTTCCGCGGGAGAAAGATGAGGTTTTCTGCTCCCGTAAAGATTTACAGCCTTGGAAACCCAGTATAGGGTCGCTATGAGTTGGAACCAACTCCACGGCACATAACAACAACAACAACAACAACAATGTGACTAAGACAGGTGTCTGAGTGACAGAACTTGTGTGCAGTCACCCACTGACCACAGAGACATGTTTAAACATGCTTTGTTTGGAGTAAACCTGTGTATGTACCAACTGGAACTCCAAGAGCAACACTTTTGGGCTTACTCTCATGTGTGTACTGAAGGTTCCCTGTAAGTCAAAGTTCCCAGAAACACCTACCAACGTCTCCCATGTAAACTATCACATAATTCACAATAAAACATTAAAAATAAAAAGAGCAGACAGATGAAGGCAATACAAGGCTATTATTATTGTGTGGCATCGAGTCGCTTCTGACTCATGGCGGCCCCGTATAGCATTTCCTGAGTTTGAACCACCAGCCTGGTGTTTAACAGTCTAGTGTTTACCCAACAGCATCACACCAGGACTTCAGTAAAAGGTAAAGGAGATAATAAAAGTGGCAAGTCCCCTGCAGGCAGTGGACATTATTTATTGCCCACATTCAGAGTATTCTAGATTGACTGGCTCCTTTACCCCACTAAGAGAACATTCTGGGTTTCTTCACAGTGCAGTCATCGTCCCCGAGGCACTACCTTAACTTTATTTTCTAGATTAACAGAGTATTCTAGATTGACTGGTTCCTTTACCGCACTAAGAGAACATTCTGGGTTTCTTTACAGTCATCGTCCCCGAGGCACTACCTTAACTTTATTTTCATCGGCAGCTATTCTGTCTATTAGTAATCGGGGAGAAGGTGATAGAGATATACAGCACATGAAGGCGCCCAGCAATACAGCCACCAACAACAATACCTTTGAAATACACGGGCACGTACGTTAGTCCTTGTAGCTTTTGTTTCTAGCTGTAGATTTAGAAAAAATAGAGAGAGGTGAGTAATTTCACCTATCTGTTCTTTCAAAAAAATGTTGGATTCATTGTGTCAATATTATCTCACCCTGAACTCCCAAGTGAATCTCAATGGGATTTGGTTTTAATGATATGAAATATATTTTATTAGATTCAGAAATAATTGGTATATACTCAATAGTTCAGCTTCCCATTCAGAAACGAGGCATTGTATTCACCTTATTTACATAGTCTTTGATGTCCCTTCATAAAATTTTTTTTATGTAGAGTTCTATATATTTATAATAAACATTATTCTTTGATGTTTCATTAAAAAAAACAAAAAAACAACTATCAAAGGGGCATTCAAATTGCTAGCCAGTGCCCTGCTTTGTCTGAGATCCTAACCTGTGACCTTACAAATTTCCACAGATGATGGTCCTTCTTTATCCACTACAGTTTACAAGGTCCACCCACCGGAGGCCAGTGTGTTGTGGTGTGCTGTTCTGTGTGTTGCTGGGATACAGGAAGACATACAATGGGATACCAAATACCTATAGGTTGCCCATGGTGGACAGGTTTTACTGAGGCTTTCAGACTAAGACAGACAAGGCCGGAAAACCTGCTGACCTAGTTCTGAAAAGTATCAATGAAAAACCTGTGGGCTGCAACAGAATGCTGTCCCCAAAGTGCTGGAAGATGAGCCCCCTAGACTGGAAGGCTCTCAAAATACCCAGTGTCTAAATCAATGGACTCAAACAAGCCAACAGTCATGAAGATGATCGAGGACCACTATACATACGGTCACTATGAGTCAGTGCCAACTGGACATAAACTAATAACAAGGTATTGACTTGAACATCCATCGTTCCTGGGAGGACACAGGTACACATATCTCTTCGCCCTTTGACCTCTGTGGAACTGCTCCCAGGGAAACACAAGGACACATGAACAGGACAAGTGGTCCATCCAGAGGCCAGCAGGATGGTTGTAGAGCTAGACAGAGTCCAGGCCCCAGACCCCCAGGCCAGCAGCCAAGCGCAGGGCTTTGGCAGCACTCGTTCTGCCGCTTATGACCAACCTCAGGATGCCTCCTTACGACAGGATCGGGTGACACCTGCTTTAAAACATGTGCCCCGGCCAAGATGCGAGTACGGTGTGCAGTTCTCCACATCTGAGCAGTTCACTCTGGAAACCAGGGATGCTCGCTGAGCAGCTCTGTCAGCCAGCTATTGTTGAAAGCCAACAGACTTGCAAAGCGGACAACTTTTATGGCTCCAAGTGGTACACGGCTGAGAAACTGAACTTGATAAAAATAAGTCTTGTTGATTGCCTTGTCAACTTTCCATTAGGAAGGAGGACATCACACTCAGTAAAATAGAGGGTCAGCAAAAAAGTGCCAGGTGCTTGGTGAGATGGATTGATAGGTGGTCACAACAGAGGGTCCAGACATAGCAACAGTTGTGAGGAGGTTGCAGGACCAGCCAGTGTGTCCTTCTGTTTTATGTAGGGTTGTTATGAGTCAAACTGGCTGAAAGAACGTAGCAACATGTGCTTAGAGAGAATTTCCTTTCTAAGTGACAGAAATACTGCTCCTCGGGTACATTTCTTTCACTACAGCATCAATTCCACTCTCGTATCCAATGCCTTCCTCACTGATGACTTTGTTGTCATCCAATCTCCCTGTGAAACCACTGTTTACAGAAGTCTACGTCATAGGTTTGGGGACATCCTAAAGCATAACGTGAAAACAGGACGGGACCTAGTAAGTTCTTCTTTTCCATTGCATTTCCGCCAGTGGTATGATTCCTTTGGAAAAATTCCATCTCCGCTTTTGCTCCAGCTCCCCCCAGCTCCTCTGCTAGCTGGCCTGTGGACACCTCTGTTCAAGCTCTCACCACCTGGCATGTGGGTGGCCTCTCATTTCTATGGGAAAGGCTACGTCTTACAAATGGAGTCCCCTGGTCTAGTTTAGCCACACTTATCACTGAACATTTGACACTTCATCTCTAGTCCGGCTGGTTGTTGTTGTTGTTATGCCGTGGAGTCGGTCCCGACTCATAGCGACCCTGTACAGGATTTCCCAGGCTGTAAATCTTTTACGGGAGCAGAAAGCCTCATCGTTCTCCCATGGAACAGCTGGTAGTTTTGAACTGCTGACCCTGAGGTTAGCAGCCCGATTTGTAACCACTACGCTACCAGAGCTCCTTGGTCCAGCTGGCTAGTCTTACATTTATTGTTAACACCACATTTTCCCCTGAGTGCCCTGTGAAACAGCAAACCAGAAGACTATGAATTTTACCTTTGTGTGTAGTTTCTGTTGCTATGTTCCAAGTCTTAATGTTACAGGAAGTTATTGATTATAATACATAACAATGTCTAGGTGTATGTATGCCCTATGGGATGGCTATACCTCTCACAGGCTACAGACTCATATGCCCCCTCCTCCCTTCTCCCAAGCTTAACCCTCCCCAAATAACCAAGCAGTAAGAAAACATATAGTTACGTCTTCCGTGGTATCTTCTGTGATGGACTCTGTGTCCAGGTTTAGGTCCTCCTCGATGGTCTGGTAACAAAGACATACATCAGTTACATCCCAGTGTCTCTGGACAGTGCACCACCCAAGTCAGCAACATGAAGGACAAAGCAAATAGTCAGCACTGGGAGGGGCACTGTTGTTTGTGCTATCATGTCACTTCTGACTCATAGCGACCCTGAGTAGGATTTCCAAGGTTGTAAACCTTCACAAGAGCTGAAAGCAGAGTACTGGTGGGTTTGAACTGCTGATCTCACAGCTAGCATCCTGATACACAGCCCACTAATGCCATATAACTCAATCTCCCAGCAGAGGTGGGACAGGGAAAATATAGCAAGATCTCTTTGCACTTGAATTTGTTGAAGCAATGTGATACTTTGTGGCAGAGACAGGTCCTTTATGTGTTGTTGTTGTTGTTGAGTGCTTTTGAATCGGTTCTGACTCATAGCGACGCTGTATAGGGCTTCCATGGAGGGGCTGGTGGATTTGAAACACCGACCTCGTGGTTAGCAGTCTAGAGCTATTCTACAGCGCCCCCCCACCCCCAGTCAGCCCCTGACTCGTGGCGACCCTGTGCACATGAGAACAGAGCCCTGCCAGGACCTGCGCCCACCTTCCCTGTGATGGACTGTGATTTTCAGCAGTAGATCACCAGGACTTTCTCTGTAATCTTAGTTTGGAAGCTCTTTGAACATGTTCAGCCACATGATGTGCATGGCTGGGAATCGAACTCATTTCTCCCACATGGAAGGTGAGAGCTCTACCACCTAGCCACCACTGCCCCCCCACCCCCGGTTCTGTAGAAAACAGGGACCAAATAAGGCAGTCACTGCTTACACCAAAGTTGTAAGTGGGTGGATTAATCAGGAGTCAGGACCATTTCTCCTCGATTTGCAAGGTGATTTCTAGAGCCCCCTGGTTGGTTAGCATGGCGGCGAGACAAGAAGTCAAGATAGTAATAGAACAGACGCTCTATTTGGGTGGGATGCATGCAGGCTACTGCCTGGGGTGGGTTCAATCACAGGCACCAAAGACCCCAGCCCAGAAGGAGCAAGCATGGGATTTCTGCTGGGTAAGGTCAGAGCCTGAGTCTTTGCTGATTCCTTCCACAACTTGGGGCAAGTAACCCTACCTGAGCCTCACGCAGGGCCCCGAGAGCCCAGAGGGATCAGAAGAATCCCGTGGACTTGAACCTGCAGAGCAGCCAGCACATGATGTGAACACGTGGGTCCCATGCCAACCCAGTAGTCCCAAGACAGCCGCTGTCAGACCACCTGTCTGTGAGTCCCCAGGGGCTCGGGATTTCTTTGCATTGTTGAGAAGCAGGGGATTCCCCTCTCTCTAAGGAGCATGACAGCCCAGAGAGAGAAATCAGGCCTGCTCCTTTAAAAAAACAGGGCTGGTGTACCTGCTGTCCTCCCTCACCCTTGTCCCCTCCTCCCTTCCCTGCTCACAGGACTCCCACTGAGAGCAAAGAGGAGACTTTCCCTCATCCAGGGTTTGAGACCAGCCTTGATCACAGTCCCTACAGTACTGGGTGCTGCTTTAGGGTGCTGGGTTAGTCAGGGCTTTTATTGAGGCCCCAATTTTTAACTCATACATGTTTCCTTCTCAACACACCTTATTTGTGGATAGAGAAAACCACCCAAAATGCCTCAAAACAACCTGTAAGACACAAATGCTCTCTCTGTGATCTCAGGTGTAGACTGATTTGAAAAAGGCCAGCCAGGAGTCCCCAGAATCTGGAAGCCTCTATTTACTTCTGTTCCCTCAGATCACAGATAAGAAAACGTTCAGTAAGAAAAGCAACTCATAACGTGAGTCACAGAGTAAGACCAGAACCCAGGAGGACGCCTGTCTGATGCCCGGAAATCCCATAATCATTCAGGTAAATCTATGAGCACTAAAATCGCATGGATTTCTTGGTCAGAAAAGCATGCTTGCTATGAATACAAGGGTTTAATGACATTTAATTTAGAGTCTGGAAGCCAAATTCACTCCCTCTTGTTTTGCTCAGGAAGGAGCTCTGGTAGTATAGTGGTTATGAGTTGAACTGCTAACCTCAAGATCAGCAGTTCAAAACTACCAGCTGCTCTGCAGGACAGAAATGAGGCTTTCTGCTCCCGTAAAGATTTACAGCCTCAGAAACCCTATGCAGGGTCACTATGAATCAGATCTGACTCCACAGCACATAGCCACCACGAGTCAGAACCAAGTCAACAGCATACAACACCAATAATAGTTTTGCTCAGGAATCCGTGGTGGAGTTAACACATTCAGTTGTTCACAACACATTATTTCAGACATTATGAAGTTAGCTTGACTTCTGATAGAAATACTGGACATAAAATATTCAGTAAATCCTCTTCTAAAGCAAAATCATTCATGTGGTTTACAGCAATGCTATGCAGCTGCCTCCGTGTAGAAGCAGAAATTAAATGTTAACCAGAATGGATGGAATGTGTCGATACAACGCTTCCTGCAGGAAATGAGGCAAAAGTGAAAGCTTGGACTTAGTGAAGATTTAGCTACTTCATGAAAGAGGAATGTTTAAGTGTAAGGTGATGAACAGAGCAGGAGGATGTCAAAGAATTCATCAAAGCTTAGGATAGGCACTAGACTGTGAACCACAAGGTCAGTGATTCGAGACCACCAGCTACGCCGTGGAAGAAAGATGAGGCTTTCTGCTCCTACAGAGATTTAATCAGCCTCGGAAATCAGTACAAGGTGGCTCTGAGTGGGAACCAACTTAACAACAACAACAACAACAACAACAACTTCAGGGAACTTTTTCTTCTAGAAAAATGCATGTGACTATTTATAGTATGAATTAAGTAAATCTAAGTCCATGGGATAGAGATTCTTATGACCCTTGTTGTTGTTGTTAGGTGTCATCGAGTCAGTACCAATCACTGTGACCCTATGCACACAGAATGAAACACTGCCCGGTCCTGGGCCAACCTCACTATTATTGCCACAATTGATCCCATTGATGCTGCCACTTTGCTAATCCATCTCGTTGGGGGTCTTCCTCTCCTTCTCTGACCCTCCACCTTACCAAACATGATATCCTTTTTCAACAACTGATTCCTCCTGACAATATGTCTGAAGTATGAGAGACTAAGTTTGGCCATCCTGGCCTCTAAGGAGCACTCTGGCTGCACTTCTTCCAACGCAGATCTGTTTGTTCTTTTGGCAGCCCATGGCACTTTCAATATTCTCCTCCAACACCATAACTCAAAAGGCATCAATTCTTCTATGGTCTTCCTTATTCACTATCCAGCTTCGCATGATCCGGGCTCTGGTTATGTGCCATGGAGTTGGTTCTGACTCACAGGGCTTCTGAGGCTGTAAATCTTTACAGGATCAGAAAGCTTTCTCTTTCTCCCAAGGAGAGGCTGGCAGATTTGAACTGTGGGCCTTGCAACTAGCAGTCCAATTTGTAACCCAGTAGTCACTACACTGGAGTCCTGGAGTGGAGCTGTGGGCTAATGCATCAGACTGCAAAGTTGTTTGAACTTCAAGGTCGGTCGTTCAAGCTCACCAGCTGCTCCTTGGAAACTCTATACAGGGTCGCTATGGGTCAGAACCGACTCAACGGCACTTCACAACAACCTACTACACTACCAGAGAGCCTTTCTTATGATCCTGTTGTTGTTGTTATGTGCCGTGGAGTCGGTTCTGACTCATAGCGACCCTGTACAGGGTTTCTGAGGCTGTAAATCTTTATTAGAGCAGAAAGCCTCATCTTTCTCCTGCGGAACAACTGGTAGTTTCAAACTGCTGACCCTGAGGTTGGCAGTCCAATTGGTAACCACTAGGGAAGCATATTTAAACAAGATTGGCAATGTCTCCTACACTTCTGCCAGCCCTGAGGATGGGCTATTGATTCACACTTGCAGTTCATTATCGTTTCCCTGATCCTTCATTCCCGTTTTGGGCAACACACCCTTTCAAGAACGCGTTAGTTTTCTGCTTTCTGATCCCTAAAAAGAGCTCATCATTTACTTTGCCTCTGGTTTCATCTGTCACTGTGTAAAACAGAGAGAAATTAAAGGGTTGTCCACTGGTTTGGAAACAGGCTAATGTTTAACAAGCATCCCGGGGCTTACACGCAACAATTGTGTTCTTCAGTTCTGTTCCTTCTCACGTATGTGTTGATGCCACACACTATGTATATGCCATCGACGCGGAAACGATGCCATACAGCAAACCTCCGTCTGCGTGCACACCCACGACACAGGACCACATATCGATTCCCAAGTCTCACCTCACAGTCTCTCAGCAAACACACATTCGCCATACAAAACAAACAGTCTCTTGGCTGCTGAGTTCAAAGGCTCCCTTTCCGCTCACCTCAATGTCCATGGGCTCCACCTCTATCTTCTTCCATAGTTCAGGCAGCTGTGCGATTGGCATTGCTGGAAAACTTTTCCCTTTCCTCTGGTCAAGAGACCTTAAGAAATAGAGACTGGTAGCAGGGCAGAGCGCTGAGCAGACGGAAGGTCCCAAGGAAACCGGGTGTGGGAGACTAAACCAGGGGGTCCGGTGCAGGGCGCAGGGGTCCTCAATATGGCTGCTGGGTGGGTGCCTGCCCTGCTGGTCCCCAGCTCCGCAGACGGCGCCTGTGCTTCCCGCTCGGGCTCCGAGGGAGGGAGGGACGAACTGTCACTGCAGCGCCAGCGGCTGCCAGGCGACTTGGGGAGTGGACGCCAGTCTCGGCGTGCTCCTCCCCTTAGATTGTGCTCCCCCCCAAACTATTTTACCTTAATTGGCTCTAAACAATGGGTGAAAGTTGGGTCTGAGGATGCTGCTGCCATAGAAACCGCATAGCAACCACGGCAGGGAGGAGGGAGGCGGGAGGGAGAGGCGGTGCACTGCGGGTCTGTCCCCACCTCCCACCTCCCTCCCCTCCCCGGCACGGGAGGGTAAGTGCGCGCGCGCACACGTGCACGCACACGAGTGCGCACACCACACGCGGGCACACTCGCGCCCACATTCACACACGTGCACATTTCTGCACACCACAAACGGGCACACTCGCGCGCACCTCACGCGGACACACACGCGCACACCTTTACACACGTGCACATTTGTGCACACCACACGAGGGCAAACTCGCGCACACTCACGCATACACACTCGCGCACACTTCACGCGGGCACACACGCTCACACCTTCACACACGTGCACATTTGTGCACACCACACGCGGTCAAACTTGCGGGCACACTCGCGCACATCTTCACACAGGTACACATTTGTGCACATCACACGCGGGCACGATTGCACTCACACTCACACTCACACACACGCTCCCCCTGTCCTTGGCCTGCTTTCCTTGCACCTTCAAAACGACCAGAGCCCAAGAGCATGGGAAGCCATGCTTCCAAGAGAGATGACTCTGCCACAGAGGGAAGGGGTCATCGGGAGGTCTCACGCCCCCATCCCCAAGAGGAAGACGCCCTAGGCCTGAGCAAACTGAGGGACTTCACTTCCAGGCTGTGTCCCAGTTTATAAAGGAGATGGCCCTGGGGGACCCTGACTCATGAAAACTGCTCCAAGGGGTTTTCTTTGATTTCTTGGAAGACCTGCAGGCGTTTTTTCCAAGGCATCTTTGTGTGGACTAGAAGTTCCAGCCTTTCTGTTGGCAGCCAAGGGAGCACTTAACCCTTGATACCACCAGAGACTGGAAGTCGCTCGGAAACATGATGTGGATACAGTGGCACCCGGAAAATTCCCTCTTTTCTTTCTTCTCGCTCTCCCTTCCCATTCTGTTAATACCTTGGGGTAAAACATGTACACATGTGAAAAACCAGCCTTTCCCCTCTGCGTCTGCAGTTCCGTTGTGTTAAGGTCTGATCAGTTCAATGTAACTCAAGACAAGCTTTCTCTTCATCATGAAAGTTTTCATCTTTGAAACTGTGTCTAAGAAAATGGTTCCTACTTCCTGAAACCATGTGCTCCTGTCTCTTCTTCACCCTTATAAAGTCACGAAGAAGCCCAGGTCCTTAGCTTGTTGTTGTTGTTGTTGTTAACTATCATTGAGTCAGTTCCGACCCATTGTGACTCTGAGTAGGGTTTCTGAGGAGCATCTGGTGAGTTTGAACCTCCGACCTTGCAGTTCAAAGCAGCTTTGCAGTTCGGTGTATTAACCAATTTCAGAGCCAAGAGAGCGGAGAGTCAGAGATGAGCCGGGGAGACTCAGAATTCAAGAATGATTCACAATAGCCCTTCCTGTTTCCACATGAGACGAAGAAGGCCCCTGAAAGCAAATTCCAGGCAGAATAAAGGTAAGAGCCAAACATGAGTCATTGTCTAATTGGGCACCACAAGGTCGGTGGTTCAAGCTCACCAGACACACCTTGGAAACCCTATACAAAGTCACTATGAGTCAGAACTGACTTGACAACACTTAATAGCAACATCTGATGCTGAAGGCTGAAGGTTTCCAGTATGTTCTTCAAATTAAGGTGATTTGGGCCTCATGTAAAATTTCACAGGTTAGTAACAGATAAAATGAAATGCCCTCTATAATGTCGTTGTTATATACCGTCAAGTCAGGGCCGACCAATAGCGACCCTGTATAGGCTTTCCAAGGAATAGCTGGTAAGCTTGAACCATTGACTTTGTGGTTCAAACTGACTTTGCAGTCCAGCACATTAACCCACAGCACCATGCCAGGACTCACACTCTATAATTGTTGTTGTTGTTAAGTGCCTTTGAATAAGTTCCAACTCATAGTGACCCTGTCTAGGAGCAGCTGGTGGGTTTGAACTGCTGACCTTGTGGTTTGCAGTCCAGTGCTGATGCACAGTATCACACACCAGAAGTCTACTTCTCTATAAGACAAGAGTGAAGGAATGCACTAATACAAAACACAGTGCTAAACATACTCCCAAATGTTTTATTACAGGGGCTGGTAACAGTGACCCCGGGGAGATAGTAGGGAGGAAAAGCGAAATCTGATTTCGTACGATGAATTGAAATTCCACACATGGTTCAAACAGTGAACATGCTCAGCTGATAACAGAAAAGTTAGAGGTCCAGGTTTACCCAGGGGAACCTGGGAAGAAAGTCCTGGTGATTTATTTCTGAAAAAAAAACCATCCACTGAGAACCCTGTGGGCACAGGTCTACTCTGACACACACGGGGCACCGGGAATGGGATCTACTTATGAAAACTTTGTCACTGAGAACCCTGTGGAGACAGTTCTACTCTGACACACACGGGGCACTACGAGTGGGATCTACTTAAGGAAAACCATCCACTGAGAACCCTGTGGGCACAGGTCTACTCTGACACACATGGGGGCACCGTGAGTGGAATCAACTTATGAAAACTTTGTCACTGAGAACCCTGTGGGCACAGGTCTCCTCTGACACACACGTGGGTGCCAGGAGTCCACTCCATGACAAGTGGTATAGTCCACTCTGAGATGAGAGATGGAAGGGGAAGTAAAACAAAGGATGAGAATGTTGGAAGGAACCTTCTTTGACAGGTCAAGCCTTCTGCATTCCTCTGAGACAGGGAGACACCACCACCTCCACCGCCCACCTCAGGAAACTCAAGCTCTGAGCTAAAACCTTCCCACAAGTACCTCTCACTGAACACAAAGGATCTATAATAAGAGTGTTTCAGGAACTTCTGAGAATATGCTCAGGGCTTCGCATGATCTGTTTTTGAAACTTGGCAAACATGGCACTAATAAACGGACTGAACATGACCCAGTGGTCCTAGAGGGGAAGCAGCAGAGGCCTGGAGATGAGGGGATGAGATCAAGAGAGGGGATCACATGTTGTGTAACTCAGAGGCTCAGGATTCCAGTTCCCATGCTTAGTGCATTGGTGCTTTTTGAAATGTCTCGGATTATCTCTCATGTTTTGGGCATGTGATCAGGAGGAACCAGTCCCTGAATTAGGACATCATGCGTGGTAAAGTGGATGGTCAGTGAGAAAGAAACTGACCCTTAACGACATGGATGGACAGAGTGGTGGGCTCAAACGTAACAGATTGTGAGGATGCTGCCGGACCAGAGGTGTTTTCTTCTGTTGTGACTGGGGTCACTCTGGGTCAGAACCACCTCAATGCACCAAACACCAACAACATTATTATTTAAAACTAAACAACCACTCACAGCAATGTGTCCTCCTTCTGATTCAAAACAGCACATGGCGATCCCATGAGCACTGGGGTGGTGTTGTGGGATAAGCAGTGGACTGCTAACCACAATATGGGCAGTTCAAACCCACCAACCACTCTCGGAAACCCTATACGGGTCACTATGTGTCAGAACCAACTCGACGGCACTTAACAACAACAAGGCAACTCCACGGTTATTACCTGCCAAGATGCAGTGATAGGCATGTTAGGGAGAACTCATGGTGGCCCAGTGGTTAAAGCACTCGCTGCTAACCAAAACATTAGCAGTTCAAACCCACCGGCCACTCTGCAGGAGAACAGTGAGGCCTTCTACTCCCACGAAGGCTGATACCCTATGGAACGGTTCTACTGTGACCCACAGGGTCACTATGAGTGGGATTAACTTCATAGCAGTGGGTTCAGTTAGGATTTGAGGTAGTGGGAGTGGATATGAAAGGAAAGCCACATACAAAGGAAAGTAAAAGAAAAAAGGCCAGAAAAAGTTCAAAGAGAAATATTAATCCAGAAAAAAAAGAAATAAAAAACCTTACTGTTTCCATCAGCAAAGCTTACATCAGAAAAGATGAGGCAGCCTTTTGTTCCGAGAGGAAATCATCGAGACATGTAGACACCTAGGAAGTTCAAACAAAGGACCAAGCCCTTTGCACTAGGATATGTGCATACAAATAGATCCCAAGAAAGCATGAACAACTTGTTCAGTGGGAACCCCTAAAAAGTGGATTTCTGAGAAACATCCATTTCTGAGAAGAAAGCATTTGTGACTCTTTGGCGGGCTGTGAGTCTTCCGTAAGCACAGCTCTAGAAACAATGGGAGGATTTCAAGACTTGGAGCCTCACTATCAGTGAGAAATTGGCATCAAACTCACTGAAAACCAGTCTTCAGAAAAAAACCTTATTATTGTAGCCGATTTCTATGTATTCCATCTGGCGAGGTCCATGTGTATAGTCTTCTGTTATGCTGTCTAAAGAAGGTATTTGAAATAAACAAATCATTTGTTTTGCAAAAATCTATCATTCTTTCTCCAGCATCATTTCTATCACCAAGGCCAAATTTTCCAACTACTGGTCCTTGCTCTTTGCTCCCAACCTTTGCATTCCAATCACCAGTAATGATCAATACATCTTGATTGCATGTTTGATCGATTTCAGATTGAAGAAGTTGGTAGAATTCTTCTATTTCATCCTACTGGCTTTAGTGGTTGGTGCATAAATTTGAATAATAGTGGTATTAACTGGGCTTCCCTGTAGGCGCATGA